CCCAAAGGCCTTTGCCCCACTGCCATCTCGTAGTGAGCTAGGCATGAACATTGACGCCAAGTGGGGTCTCCCCTATTGTATGCGGACGCTTACCCCCCTTACCACACCGCTGCGCATCCTCAGCTTGGCCGAAGTAGGCAACACGGCCTCAGCGGACCACCTCTTGCAAATGGCAACTGTGCCGCTCGAACATAAAACCACTGCACTAGGGATTCCCTACTCGTGTCCAGTTTCCTATCATTTCGATGGTGCTGAGGCCCTCCAGCAAAGCCTGTTCTCATTGTTCGCACTGCTGACAACGGGCGATGCCCCAAGGTATTGTCCGTCAGCCACTGCTTTAGGCATGAAGCTGTGCATGGCAGCCCGCACTGACAGTGCCCACATCATGTCTGTGGCACTCTCCTTGGCAGCTGCCCTTCAAACAGGGCGGTCTACGTTGGCCGTTGCAGGGGTCTTTGGTGCGGGGAAGACACGCTCCCTTACCTTCCTTCTGGTTTGGCTGGCTTTGACAACCAACCTCAAGATCGGTGTAGTCCATAAAGAAAACCCGGTCGAGCCATCACCAAGCTACTAGCTTCGTTAGCACTAGACGATGAACAAGCCAAACTCTTTGTAAGGGCTGTTGGGCGAGAGGAGGCCGCGGCCAATGCAGCCAGCACCAGGTATGACCTGGCCATGCAGTACTGCCCAGGGGCTATCCCTAAAGCCAAAGTTGTCATTGCAACCGTGTGGGAACAAAAAGCACACACGCATTCGTCGCTGAGAGTACACATGGAACAAATTGACATCCTGGTGGGGGAAGAAACAACCCGCTTTTGTCCCGGCTATCCCGCGCCAGCCGTTCCTTCGACTGCTCTTTGGCGACCCCAAACAAAGTCCCGGAGGAGTTGCCGACAATCTGAGGGAGCATAGAGCATTGCTCCTAAAAGCTCCCATTGGACTTCTGGCAGCGCATCGCTGGTTTATGCCACATGAATTACCAGCTGTCATATGCAGCCTCCTACATAGCTGTGCTGAGGTTCCCCTCGACAAGCTGACAGAAGCTGCAGATGAAGCAAGTCATGGCCGGCTTGGACGCCAATGGAACACAGATGAGCACTGCCCCTGCCTCACTCCGGTCGGAGCTGCCTTGCAAGCAGCCCACAAGGACCTTGGAAAAGTCAACTTCAGTACTCCGGAAGGCCTCCTGGCTGGCCTTGGGTATGCCATCACGCGGGCAGGGCACTGTTACCAATTCCATCAGGCCAGCGTAGCCTCGGATAGATCAGGAGTGTCTGCACCAGTGGAGCGCGATGCTTCCGACCAGTGCACGGGTAGCGCAAGAAGTCTATGAACCCCTGATAGGAATTCAGTACCCAATGCATTGTAGTCATAAGAATGGGCGATGGCAGATAGGAACAAGCTCCATCCGGGAAAGGGAGGCCAAGCCCACTGGGCTGCGGTTCGTGCAATGGATCCACCACGACTAGGCGTTTCGGAGGAGGGCATTGAAAAGGCGGAGGATGTCAGGCCAGAGCCGGAGTTTTCAGTATCTCCTGACAGGCCTATCGCCTTTGAGTACGACTTCATCGAGGTCTATGCTGGCTCTGCTAGGGTGTCGAAAGCTGCGTTGCTTTTGGGCTTGGTGGTGGGCCCTCCGATCGACACATCCTATAGTGGAGAACTGGACCTGTGCCTCACTCGATATGCTGGTAAGCTACAAGCTCAAGAGCGTTATGGTGGAGCCGGTCTGCACTTCTTTTTCTTTGATGAGAAGGCCTCCTTTGAGATCAAAGATGGTGCCCTATGGTTTTGACTTGTCATGCCAGCAAACAAAGACTGGAAATTTTCTTGCTCTTCGTGCTTTGGCCATCCTTGCATTGTGCCACCGCCTCATGTTGCCAGGGCTACTCGAACAGCCGTGGATGGGCATGATGAGATATCTTCCTCCTTGGAGAGCCCTGGAGGAGAAACAGAATGTCATGGTCAAGAGATGTGACTCTTGTGCGTATGGGTCACCACATTTCGGCTGATGGCTGTCCACATGGATATTTCTCGTTTGACCAGAAGGTCCTCCCGTGATCATACTCGCCTGATTGTGGAGGGCAAACACACGAAGGCCTCAGCTTCCTACACCGAGGAGCTGGCCATGGAGATAGCATTGAGTTTCAGAGAGGCCATTGTCGACAGAGAGGCCTTCCTTTCAGAGCACTTGGATTCTCTGCATGTCAAAGGCCTTGAAAACCAGTTCACGAACATGTGTGCTATTGCATTGCCTTGGAAGGAGGAGGACAGCTGGGCTTTTGCAACAACACGGCATATCAATTTGTTGGAGATGTCCTCTCTCTTGAGGCTGGCGGAGCGAAAGGCGAGGGCCCCTACTTCTTCGAGGATTGTCAACCTGATGATTCGAATGTGATCAGGTGTGCAGCTTCAAAGGGACGATCATCCTCGCTTGCTCTGTCCTCTCTACTTCACCGCTACAACGCAATATGCCTGGCTGGTGGGCTATACTTTACGTCCCTACAAGATTCAACACATCAGATGACCCTACCAGAGGTTGGGAGGTGAGAAACTCAACATCCGTCCTTCCTATCAGCTCTGCATCTGAAGATCAAGTCAGGTCTTTGCTCTCGATGCCTCTACTTCGTCGTTGGGCCTCGAATTGGGTCCGCTTTGTCTTTGGAATTTATGGATTTGGTCTCTTGGACTTCCGTCGCCATGACACTCGTCGCCATGCTATCTCTTGGACTTCTCAGTCTGCCCTTGCACCCTATGGCCTTGGACATCCGCTGAACGGGCCACGCCATCTGGTCGACTTTGATTCATCACTTGGATTTCCTGGAGAAGGTCCACCTCTTTGCTCCCTTTCCTCTCCTGGTGTCTTTGGCTTCTTCCTACTTCTCCTGCTCTCTCCCTATCCCCTCGGCGGATTAGGAATAGTTAGAGCAATGGATAGCCATGGAGCTTTTGGACCACGGACCCCGGGCGACGTGCGCCGTGCCCAAGTCCGTATGAATAGAGCGCCTCTGCCTAAAGGTAGGCCAGTCACCGACCTGACGGCCAAAAACCGTGAGAAGCTGCTTGGAGCTTTCCTGGAATGGTGCGACTTTGCTGGCTTTCATATGCAGCCCATCTTCGACAACCCTGCACAAAGTGTTGAAAGGATCAACGAGATCCTGCTGGCTTATGGGAGGAGGCTCTATGAGGCCGGCAAGACATATACGCATTAGGTTGAAACAGTCAATAGTGTTGCTAGTTTGAAACCAATTTGGAGGAGGCAACTTCAAGCTGCTTGGGACATGGCCTTTAGTTGGGTCAGAGAAGAAAAGCCGGTTCATCATTTGGCTATGCCTTTTCAAGTGTTGTTAGCGATGCTGACTGTCGATCTGTCATGGGGATGGCTGAATGTTGCTGGGCTGCTGGCTTTAGGGTGGGGATCGCTCCTTAGAACCAGTGAGATGACACATGCTTTGCGAAGTGACCTTCTTTTACCAAGTGATACATTTTACACAAACAAGTTTGCCCTATTGGCCTTGCGTGAACCGAAGACGAGATTTGTATCGGCCCGTCATCAATCGGCCAAGCTGGACATCCCGGACCTTTTATCTCTTGTTGACACCTGGAGAGCCATCAGAGATTGTGGCCCTTTTCTGATCAAACATTGAGACATAGATTTGTTGATATCCTGAAGGTGCTTCACCTGGACTCGGCTTCGCTAAAACTTTCCAAGACTTTGGATCTGGGGTCGTTGAGGCCCGGTGGGGCGACGTGGATGATGCAAACTTGCGAAGACAGCGAACTAGTTCGCCGTCGCGGAAGATGGTTGAATCAGAGGGTGATGGAAATATATATACAAGAGATTTCAAGCATGCAGCTTTTACTTCACCTGTCTAAAAGCCAACGTGAAAATATTTTTGGTATAGCTGCTACTTTCCCCAAGGTCCTGGAGAAGATCACTTGTTTTCAGAAAGCTTCGATACCGACGAAAGCTTGGTTTGCCCTGCTCAGGAGCTCGGAGCCTTGAGGCTGGAACGTTGGGTTGTGAGTGTTTTGGGATGTGTGGGCATGAACGCCCTGAAATGGCTTGCTCACCGTGAAACCACACTAGCACAGAGAGAAAAGGGAGCGAAGGAAGATTTGAGCTTTAAATCTGATTTTCCTTTTCGTGCTCAAGGCACCCTCCCTTTCTTTGAAACCCGCCCACAGCTCCAGCAGGGCATGAACGCCATGAAATGGCTTGCTCACCGTGAAACCACACTAGCACAGAGAGAAAAGGGAGCGAAGGAAGATTTATATAAATACTATAAATGTATAGATTTCCCGAGAAGCTTGTCGCCGTCGACAACATCATACTCCCAGCACCAGCTGTGACCAGTTCTGACGAGATGGCGCTCTGACACACAATGTAAAAAGGATTGAACATGATCCTTCAAGATAAATCCCAACGAACACTAGGTATTAAGTAATTATTTAAGCAGTAAAGACCAAGCTCAACACCAGACGTCTCGTGTTGACCTTGGTTGGGACCCTTTTTCCTCAAACGAGTCGAGAACTGACTGGACCTCAAGCGAAGACCTGTGCGCACACAACATTCACAACAACTTGCGGTGAACTCCGTGGACCCACTTCACCGACTTGTTCCACTCGCCCCATCGGATACCACGAAACCAGATAGTCCAGTTGATCCAGTTGATGCAGTGGTCATTAGACAAAGTCAAATGGGTCAACTGGATCCTGGGTTCAACCGGGTCAACTGGGACACCCTGTTCAACTGGGACAACTGGGACCACAGATCTACCGGCCCCCTGCCGAGGCATTCAAACATTCACACATCGTTCTTTTTGACTGGGCGGAACTGCTTTGCACGGCCAACAGAAATTTTAGCTGCTAGCATCAGCTACATAACATTAGATGGAGGTTGGCATGCGGTGCTTGTTTGCTGGCGTCGCGCTAATGCTCGTTGTCTCGTGCCTGTGCAGAATTTCCAACCTTTTGGTGTGTGGGCTCGAACTGCATGGAGTGCCGTGGGGCGTGCGCCGGGCGTGCGCCCCGGGCGTCCCCTGCGGCGCCATGTGGCGCCTGGTGTGGCTTCTCAGCTGCGGTGCGGGCACCTGGATGCGGCACCTGACATTCTGCACCGGGCCTGCAGGTCGAACCACATCTCTCTTGGAACTTAAAGGATCAGCGGGGTTTGGTCGGTTCTGATCCCGTGGTTCCTTCACCGGCGTCTTTCGCGGTGCGACCACGGGTGCAAGACTATTGCCATGGACCATGAGAAAGGTTGCCCCAAAGGACAAATCCAGGTTTCCTGACCACCAAGTGTCAAACAACAAGTAACAAGTCATATAAATCAATGAAATCGCAGTGCTCAAATTTTAATCGGTGAAAACCGGTAAACAGCGCCGGAGGGAGCGATGTTTGTTGGGTTCTCCAGCTCTTCTCCAACAGGGAACTGGAAGCTGCGCCGATTCCCTCGGAACGACCGGTTGGCTGGGCAAAATCCCCAAGCCTGACGAGAGCTAGCAGCTAGCGAAGTCATGTGGACTCTTGATTTGTCACCTGGCCGAAGCCTGCAGAGGTTTTTCAATTCAAACAGGGGAGGTCTGATGAATCCAGGAGCCTGTTACACCCCTACATTCCTTTTTGTTCCTGTTCTTTTCCCCCCAAAAAACCACGCGTGTCCGTGCTCCTCGCCCGGAGCCGACCGAACGACCGGAGCCGACCTCCAGGCCTCGGTGGGGCTCTGAGACCTGCCGAGCCGTCGAGGCAAACGGAAACGGAGGTCGTTGGAGCCCGGCCCCTGCGTTGTCTTTTTCATCGGCCCAGTGTGTCTTTTCCATATCATGAGTTTTTTGGTTTCTCAAAAGATCGACGTGACAATGATGAAGGTGACTTCAAAAACATTTGGGGTCCCAACAACTGTGGTGGACAAATAACCGGACTCGAAGGTGTGGAGGTGGTTCCCCGAAGGCCTCGTTCTCTTGAGCCGCACGTACTTCTCACCGTTTTTGCATGGACCAACGGTGGAGAGCGTTTGGGGGATCGGATGGACATTTCTTTCAGAAGGACCTGCGGACCTGGGAGGAGACCAAAAGAAGTGAAGCCTTCAGCCTCCTTTGTAAAGACATCTTCGCACGCTTCCAACTGCTCCGGCCAACGGGTCTGGGTTTGGTTTGGGCACGGTCACGCGCCAGGGCGGGCGCTGCACTTCTGACGGCCGGGACGGCCTCCTTTCCGGTCCCTGCCGTGGACCCAAAAAGACTGGTGAGGGAGATGGACCGGGACCAGGCCTCTTCGTGACCAACCATCCTGGAGTCTCTGTTTTTGGATCCGACCGAAAACAGGCCTAATTATATAAGTGACCGACCATCCTGGGATCTCGGTCACGAACTGATGATCGGACTGATGGATGTGGACACCAAGTCACCAGAGTTTCCTCAAAATTGGCAAGACGGTTTTCACTGCACTCTGGGAAGTGATGCTTCGACGGGTTCCAACCTGGAGACGAAATCGTTGTTTGAGATGGAATCCAGTCGTTCTCATGGATTGTTGCTTAAAACTTATGCGTTTGAAGGATGTCATTGCCGATGCTAAATGTTTTTGATGCAGATGTTGGAACCTATTTCGTTGACTGATAGGTGATGGATTCTGATAGATGGTGATAGGTGTATGTCTTGGTTTAGAAGCAACAAGTCATTTGGAGTCCACTGCGGGGCTAGCTCGTGGCTGCCATGTCAGGCCATGTTTGTCCGCGTACCCTCCTGAGTGAACAGTCAGGACTCCATGAATGAAACAGGGAAGGGACGGCTTGGATAGGCAACGCAGTGTTTGCCTTTCCCTCCATGGCAACGTGGGTTTAGGTTCCAACTGAAAACATCCCAGACTTGATGGAGACGTCCATCACCCAGGGAGACTTGTTTGTCATCCTACACACCCAGGATGGTCTGCTCTTCGACCGGCTGCCGATGAGCCAGGCAAGGTTCGGACCGCGGAGCGCGAACCGCGTGGGTTGCATCGAGGATGGATGCGACCGGCTGGCAGAAGGAGCGGGTCGCATTGTTTGAGAGACCATGGTGTTCATCGTTCCGATGACAGCCAAGTGGGCCACCATCGTTCTTACACTTGCTATTTTTTTTGCATTTATGGTGACCCATGACTTGTATGGATCGACGTCGACCGTTTCACCTTTTTTCATGTGTTCTGCCTGAAACCCCGCCCGACGGAGGTGGAGCAAGCTTTGGGCCGTGTGGCGGCGCATTTGAAGCTGATCTTCCTGCCGGAGCTAGTGACGCTTGGTGGGAAGGTGCTTGCTGATTTGGTTTGACGTTTGACGGTTTTCGTGAGAAGCTGTGAGACTGCAGAAGCTGTGAGACTGCAGCGGATACCAAACTGGAGCCAATCCACTGTGGTTCATCGGTGATTGGTTGGCCCAATAGAATGAAGGTGAAGATTTCTATCCAATCGGAATCCTTTGGCCAGTGACCCTGGTGACATTCCCGATGAGAGAAGCTTGGCTGAGAAATCTCGACTGAAGATCCATGTTTTGTTTGTTGTGCTTTTTGGTTATGGCCCAGGTGCACAAATACTGAACCATGTACCAATGTCTTTAGAGAGGCCCGATCTCGTTGCATGACAACCATAATCCGACCGTGGCTTGGGGGGTAGAAGGCTTCAGGTCAAGAACCACAGATGGGGGCCCTTTTTCCCCAAATGCCAGGGGGGTGGGTTCCGGCCGCCTCGGCTTTTCAAGACAGTGAAATAAAGATGATACAGATGACACTCCCAGTCGGTGAGCTATCCTCCAGAATAAATTCCGATTCAGAAACTACGATTCAGAAACTACTGCACCGAAACTACGATTCAGAAACTACGAAGAAGAACACTGGTTCAGAAGTCGAGCAGGTAGGTGCGTGGGGGGTGGGTGGGAGGTGGGTTGGGGGTGGGTGGGATAGTGACGTTCAGCTTCTGATTGCGAGCAAGGCGGGGAATCACATCAATCACGCAGGCCCGCAAACATGCCAAACATTTCAACTGGTGTGAAAAGGACACCTCAGTTTGGACGGATCTTTTCAAATGATACGCCATGTAGGGAGTTATGGTATGTTATGGTTTGAGTTATAGTTTGGCAGTCATCTCTGTGGCAACGTTGGGGTCTACTTGCGGCGTATATCATTTTGGGCTTCCTGCAGACATCCGCTATAGTTTCTGAATCAGGCGGTAGTTTCCGAATCATAATTTCCGAATCATTTCGCAGCCTGTAGTTTCCGAATCTCAGTTTCCGAATCATGGGGTAGTTTCCGAATCGTAGTTTCCGAATCCGTCCTTGACCTATCCTCCATAGCTTGTGGTTCCTGATGTTTTTTGTTCAAAGAAAGCCCAGCCTGAGCTGCCCGAACTGCTGAAGACCATGAGAGGTGTATTGATACGGTTTCATATCACGTGATGCAAGGATTCTTCCTTCAAGGGTTCTAGCCTTTCTCGCAAAGGACGATGATGCTCTTCATGCTCACGTTGCTTTGTGCTACGGCTTGTGGGATGCTTGACGAGCAGTTCATGGAAGGAATGGCCGATCGTCATTACCAGGTAGATCAAGGATCAGGCACGTTCAGTGCTTGTCCTCTGCTCAAGGATGTCGGACTTAGTCATGCGACGTTTCTTGAAGTGGGTCGATGAACCAAATCGTCATAGTCATGTAGACTCTTGATGAATAAAACCCCCAAGCTTGAAGAATTTTGTATTTTTTTCCGATGAATCAAGAGTCAAGAGTCATCATGTGTGTGGGATGACAGATCCTCTCCTTGTGGCTGGTGTACTTCACGGCTTTCGACCACCTGGTTGGACCTTGAAACCCCCAAAACCGGGACCTGGCCGAAGTGACCGATTTGGTTTGGCGTTCTTTTTTGAGGCTGGCAGAACCCCAAAACCTGGTTGGTTTGGACTAAAACCCGAAGGTTCTCATCCCATGGACCTTTGCGAACTCTCGGGGTTGGTCGATTGAGGAAATGGTTGGATGAAGAGCCCGCTGAAGGCCGGCTGGGCGTTGAGTCCTGCCGGCTCAAGGTCTGCTTTTCCTTTTTGGCCTATGGAACTGGGGGTTGATCCCATTTTTTGTGAGATCATGGTGTGCCTCAAAAGGTACAGTAAAGACCAGAGATAAAACCCTCTAACTAAATGGACGGACATGCGCTGTTCCTACCTTTATACCAGGGAATTATCGAGGGTCTGATCATTCTACAAGTGACAGTAACACATGGAGAAGTCCGGCTCCTGTGGTCATACCAAGAGTCCCTTGTTGGAGCCAGGTATATATACTCCAAATGAAGATGCTGCAGAAATAGGGGAGATTCACTAGATTTCTGGACTCAATGTGGGTTTTGGCACGTGGATCTAGTGTTGTTTTTCTTTGTTTCAGATGTGGGTTGGCTCCCCAGCTACTTGTACTCCACTTCTACTCCCCCCCATCCGGAGGTTGTGATCTTTTTTAGGAGATCTGGAGAAAATGCACAGTTTTTGGGTGCAGGCGGGTTCTTTATCCCCATCCGGTGTTCCAGATCTCACGGGCCATGGGGCTTTGCTTCGGGGTCTGGGTGGCATATGCTGCGCTCGGGAAAAAGATCATCAACCCAGCCCTCAGTTCTGAAGACTCGGAGTTGGTGAGCCTTTTCGTTGGGATTCGTTGGTGTTTTTTTTCCTATTTTGTTTAGATATCGTCGTGACAGCTCCCATCTATTTGATATGGCCCCTATCTTTTTTGGCTGGTCCGGAGGGGTTGCTGCCTTGCACTCGGTCCTTGACGGGTCGTGAGGCCCCGACGGGCGTCGTCGTCGGCGCCGGACCTTCATCATCGTGGAGGCGAGGAGACACGGGTGGGGGCTCAATAATTATGGGCCATAATTTATGACGTTTTTAATGCCTTTTCTGTTTGGGAGGACTTGACTGAACCATTTTAGAATATTTGATGTGCGTGACAGTGCGTAGTTGCCTCTGTGCTCCTTGTTGCACGGACATCCGAAAGCCGCGACATGGAAGTCTATGGCACAAACCGAGACTCCAAGGCTTCACCATTGATAGAGGAAGACGGTCTGTGCAAGAGTCCAGTTTTCAGGTGCTTGTGAACAGCTGGAGCACGTGCTCGGTGAAGACCGAAGACCGATCGTCGTCTCGGCCGGTCCGGAAGACCTTGTTGGGAGTTTGGCCTAAACAGATGACGCATCACCTGTTTATCCAGTCAGTTCAAGAGGAAACTGCATGAGATTTCTGAAACTCAAGCTGGATTTGTGAAACTCTGAATGTCCGCTCTCCGAAAGCTTGGCAGGGAAACGAGGTTGCCTACGACTCTCAGGCGCCTGCCGTTGGCCTTTCGGGGTCCAGTCACCACCGAAAAACATACCTTTGACCAAAGCAGATCGCCGGCGAAGATCTCTGCTTTCGGGTCATACTGGGGTCATATATGCTCGACTCTTTTTCACATTAGTTTTGCTTCTTGGCCTGAGTCATTTGCCCTTCTTTTGCTTCTTGTATCTTCTGTGATGTTTGTGTAGCATCTCATGCGCTGGTCATTGACTCTGTGAGTCTGACCTTGGAATCCCTGGCGTTTCTGGTCGTCCCGTTCAAGAGACATGATGGGAGGGCCGATGGGAGGATGATCCATGGAGCAAGGTAGTGATGCGTTGGCGTTTTTCGGACCGAGTCAGAACAGGTGGTAGAGTCCAAGGGATGACCAACATCGTTAAACATACAGGTGGTCATGATACATACATGATGTATCCCTTCACCAAACATTTGCTGAATGGGTTTGGTTTGTCTGGGCTCGGCTGAATCCATTGTGGTTGGTATCGAGAAATGGTTCATGGTCTCTTTCTAGTCAACACTGATTAGCGATCGTTTGCCAGTGCTTTTTCTTTACTGTGAAGGAACATCTCTTTGTATCTTCCATGCGTAAAGCTCAGTGGTCTTTGGCCATGGATTCTGTGCAGCAAAGATCTGCGCTTCACTGGCGCCGCAGGTGGCGGATTTTGCGATCCCAGTGCGTCGCATCAGGAGAGCACCGTCTGTGAGGTCCACGGTGAGATCGCAAGCGGATCGGCATTTCCATGTTGCGTCTGACAGAGTCAGTATTAATATCTTTCTGCTCTCTTGTGGGGAGCTTGTAGGTGGCACAACTAGCCGTAACTACCCAACAGATTCACAGCTTGCCCCTGGAGTTACCACCTTTTTCTAGAAGCATGTCGTTGAGTTGGTATGCGGTAAGCGGGCACAGCAGCACAGCACTGACAGCACATACGTCGTGTGATGGCCAATCCGACTTTTTGTTCAACAAACGCTAGCAGCCCCCCATCGTTAGGCACCTTGGGTAGGTCCTATCGCTTCTCTTGCGAAGCCCTTCACCTGGCCAGTAGCTTGTCGCAACTGATGCAAGAATACTATCGACCCGAAAGGGTCGACGACCTCTGCCACTTCGTTGGGGAAGCCCAGTGGCCGCGATGCGCACTGGCTCACTGCTCGGATTTTCAAATCCCAATCTGGGGGTGTATTACCACAAGGAGACCTCCTAAAGCAGTCCTGGAAGAAGGAAAATACAGCAAAAGCAATGAAATACACACCCATCTGGGCTTTTTGCAGGTGACACCGATGGCTTCACATGTTTCAAAGTGGCACCTCATCGTATGGTCTGAAGCAGTTTGCACCCATGGACACCACGGGAATTTCCCGGGATGTACCTGTTCTGTCTATTTTTGGGGTGACACAGTGACACACACACACACAGCCAGATGGGCTTCAGCGCCCCAGCTGAAAAGTCCTCATCCAGGCTCGAGACGGTGGCGTCCGCAGTAGCATCTGAGACGTCCGCGGACTTTGTGTCCGTTGCTGGGCAGGACCGTGTTGACACAGTGAGATGTATTCAAACAGGACATCCCACTGCAGCAGCTACTAGCTCTAGGTCTTTTAGCCCGACTCGCCCGCATTCTCGGGATCTGCGCCGGGCCGCTGGCACGTCTGAGGCGAGCCCTGCTGCCTGAGAGCAGCTGTCGGCTCTGTGGGAGGGTTTTCTTCGATTTCGACCCAGAAGTCTCGTGGCTGGTGGCGCAGAGGTCCAAAGAACATGCCACCAAACTCGACCGAACTGAACACTGAACAACACGCTCCAACACACTCCAAAGCCCAAGCAAGGGAGATGCCAAAGTCCCATTCAACGGTGTGTTACGCGTTTACTTGCTTTTTGTTTGACGTTTCTGGGACCTTTGGTGGCTTTTTGTGAGCTCTCTTCAATAAGCATGAAGCATTGAGTTGTGGAGGATGTGTCAAATGAATTGCTTTTGGTCTGGATGTGTGAAAACAAATCATACAGCAAATGTTCTCGATCACAGAGCTGGAACAATTTTTGGGGTGGGATGCGGTTGAAGGTTGGTTTTAAAAGTACACATTATTTGTTCTTGAGCAGAGTCTATTTTTTTCGGGCGGGCTGATGGTGGTTAGCGCAAATCATGAAAAGTGGATGCTAGTGACTTGGTGCACACTGTGGCACTGTTAGTCTGTGGTGACTGGGCGCAGAGAGTGCACTCCATATATTGTTGTTTGTTTTGGTCATCTCTGGAAATAGGCGACCTGACCCCTTCGAACAGGCGAGTTCGAATGTAAGTGACATTTGGGGTGAACATTTGAATCTTTTTCTGCCGGTCTGGGTCCTTCTGGTGGACGAAGTGAAGACTTTTCGCTACCATGGTTTCGCTACCGTAGTCGCCGTAGTCGCTGTAGTTGATCTTGGTTCCCTGATAGTCTAAGAAACAATTGGGGCGATGTCCACGCCATGTCAGTCCATGTCTTTGAAGCGACCATGAGTTAGTATCTCAACTGGAATCATGTGTCTTTACAAACCAGCCTGAGATGGTGGGTTTGCATGGGCGGCCAATGCTGCTATGGTGAGTGTGGAGCTTGGAAAAGGTGGATCATCAGCTCAGCTGGATCGAATCGCAGCTCCCACTAGACATGTTGGTGACGAGGACAGGTCATTTGCCCATGGAAAATCATGGTTGCAGACCCTGTGACTGATGGTGGTTTGTGTAGTCTCTATTTTGCACCTGCCATCGACTTTTATATGGCTTCCCAATCATTGGTCGACCCCGAGAGCGCCATTTTCGATCAGATTTCGCGTTCACGGCATATTTCCTGAGACTGGGTGACACGCCATAAAGAGCCTTTGTTTGCCTTAAACCTCACTGGCGATAGATGATGGGTTGTTGCACTTAGGAATTGGTACCGCGAGCCAAGTAGGACATGCAAAGCCATCGACTGTTATATAACTTGGTTCAGGGGCCACTTGTGGCTTATTTGCACAGCTTTTTCTAAACGCAAAATCCCACGAGCTCGGAGCTCCTCTGAATCATTGGGTGTATGGATGTGTCCTCACGGATTTTCGACCTCCGCATCATGCTTTTGTTCTTCAGATTGAGCGGGTTCGCCCGGGCCGGAGATGTAAGAATCGGGTAGAAGCCAGACACGTCGGACACCTGAGATATGTCGGACACATGTTGTCCCAACCGAACCGTCGGGGTTTCTGTGAGAAGGTCACCCATAGTTGCTTGATGAGCGAGAAGGACACAAAGCGCGCGCTCGAAGGCTCCCTTATGTTTTAGAATCAGCCCTTCCAACGGGCGGCGCTGCAGGGTGACAGTGTCACCCGACCACTCAGATTCCAGTTTTGATAGGTGAAGAACCAGGTGCTGTAACTCACGTCGGACTGGTGTAAGGTCTTTGTTTGTCTGGGTGATCCAGACCGAAGATGGAGCTTCCACATTCCAGCAGCTTCTTTCAGTTCTTCTGTTCTTCTTTTAGAACACTCGAGACGAACTCCAGAAATTCCCACGACGTTCTCGTCGAATCAAAAGTTGGCCGAGTCGATGCACGAGCTATGGACTCGAGAGCCGTCAACGAGGATGAGGCGGACGATGTTGTGTCGCTATGCGTAGGATGCAAAACCAGCCAACCAAAACCCCAAACCCACGGGTTTTTGGTGTAGACCTGTTTGCTGGATCAATACCAGCCCTCCCTGCAAAACCACAAGATCCGTGTCAACATGTCTGCTGATCAGGGGTTTTGGATCAAGCAGGTTTCCGATTTGGAGGATCTCACTCTCTGGATCGGTGCTTGGTAGCTTGGAGTTACTTTCCAGGGGAGTCGCTGGAGAAAAGACCAAGCGATGGGGAGAAATGGGGAGTCCTAGGTGTTGCTTCGCCAACACTCCCCCCAAACGAAATTTGGCCAACACTCATTGTCCAAACCCCAGTTGCAATAGTCTATCTTTAGGGTCCGGGAGTCTATGAAAGAATTGGAATGCAGCGGAAAGAGGGCTTTGACCAAGGAAATACCTTTGGGGGTCTCGCCATTTCTAGATTTCTAGGTTCACCCGTCAATCACCTGACCAAGCCGCGTGGCGTGGCCCCCCCCCCCCGCGTGGATTGACTCCACTGCCAGGCCCTGGCGCGACGGCTGCAGGCTGAGGCGCGAACGGTGTCGAGAGCCGACGGTGTCGACCACCGCGCCGAACGGTGTCGAGGCCAAAGCCGCCGAACTGCCGAACTGCCGAACTGGCAGGGAGGTTGGGTTCCGTTTCCGAAGAAGAGATGTGGATTTTCGGCCGAAGACAGCCATGCGGTTGACCTAGCGGTGGATCCATCCCCCCGCCATACACCATCTCTATATATAATCATCCTGGAGAATCCTGGAGTAGGTAGAATATGAACCAAGCCAAAAAAGGATCCGTTTCATATATTCTATTTAGTCCAGGATGACTATAATCAATCTCTCAAAAAGGCCAAAGGGGGTTTCCCTACTGCCTTCGCGCTGCACCCTGCAGAGCTCGTGGCAGGAGCAGGCCTCCCACGAGCTGCCCTCAGGCAGTGCGACAGTGCGGCAGTGCTGGCTTTGTCTGGGCTGGATGTTGGACGGGTTGGGTCGTTTTTGGGGCTGTTCTTGGACGTCGTTTTTGGGAGGGTGAACTGCTAGACATCTGAAAGTGCATTTTTTGGGTTTTGCTAATCAGGTAGTTTTTTTTCCCCTTCTGGTATACTGTATCCCCTAACCTGGGGAATATGGTTTGTTCTTTTTTTCTCCAGGCTTCCTGGACAGCAAATCCAAGTTTTGGTGGGTGAGTTCGAAGAGATACATTTGAAAAGGCTTCCCGAACGTTTTGTCTCCGCTGCGGCTCGACCGGGTGGACCGATGTTGAAGTCACACTGAGTCACAGTCGGTACGAACACTGTGACACACCCATGAGATGCCGAGGCCTCAGCAGTACAGAAAATTCCTGAAGAATCACTCAATATGTCCCAGAGCATGTTTCTTCACATGAGCACATGGTGGCAACCTGGATGGAAGAGCGGGACAATTGGTACACTCCCATGTGTTTTTCTTCTTTTTTTTTTCCCCGAAAACACCTGTATTTTCAGCTCAGGATCCCGATACGAGGGACACAACCTCAACCGGATGGTTGTATCAACAGCAGCGATGAAACCCATGGAATGAGTCGGGCGTTTGATCCATCGGCGCTTTTTGTCGTTTTTTACCATCGGAGACAGGGACTCGGTGCACTCGTGCTTCGGCGCCGGTGTTCCGGGCGCTTCGGTGTGGATATGACGCCGTTTTTGGAAGGTCACCAAGTTGGTGAGTGTTTGCGACTGGAAACTCGTGGGAGTTGGTTGGGTGCTTCATGTGGGTTCTGTCATAGACATCTTGTTCGGCAAAAAAAGCACGATGGCGCTGGGAGTCCCAGAAATCCCCATCAATCGGGTTGGGAGACGTCTCCCCTGGCACGCAGACGTGCTCAGATCCCTCGTAGACTTGGCGTATGTATAGAGAGAGAGAGATCAAATGGGTACTCGTTACAACATCGAAGATGCCATGCATGTCCAAGATGCTTTGCTTTTCGCCTCCAGAGTGCTCTGTGCACGTGATGATTTGGACGGTTTGGAACGGTGCCGGTACTCGTACCGTACCCGACGAACACGTCGATCGAGCCGGGGAGTTCAACTCCCGTTAGCTTCGGCATGACGTTAGGAGAAACACGAAGCTGGTGGATTGACATGAAGTCTAGAGTCTAGACGGCTCTAGAGCCGATGGTCCATTTGGTCGGATGGATTTGAGGGCCTTTACATACACATGGTCACCATCAACATGATGGGACTTGGCTAGAATGAGAGGTCTGTGACATTCTGTACTTGTCCAAGAGCTGACATAGACATAGGTTGAATATAGTTGAATGATCATGCCGGGAGCGGCGCTGAACTCCTGGGTACCAAAGAACCGGCACTGAACTCGACGTGCATCCTCGAGCGACGTGCATCCTTGGCTCCAAGGTCGGCGCACCCCAGTGATTTCCAAGGATGGCCTATTGGTCCGAGGATGACAACCTAAATTTTGGGCAACAGAAGATATTGCAACCACAGATTGGTGCTACTTAAAAACCACATCGATCATTTTTCATAAAGTATGCTATGTTCGGTAGAGGAGGAGACTGATGTTTTTTGGGACCCTTGGGCGGTTCTCATCCACACTGCAACTTTCCTTTTGACCTGGTTTGGGATACTGCTGGTTCCAAAGGCACTCGAAAGATTATTTTGAGCCTTTTAGGGCAGCTTTTGCAAGACCTCCTTTCTTGCAGAAGGCGACCTCCCACGTCATTGCAAGGACTTTTGACACCCCCCAAGTCCCCAAGCTGTTGTTGTTTGCTATCTTTCCGAACATCACCCCGGCACCCAGCCCAATGTCCAGAAAGCCACACGCAACACCATGTAGGACGCACGCACGACACACGCAGAAGCGCGAACTCCGTTCTGCACGCCATGCTGAGCAGTGGGAAGCTGACAGCGCCCATGCGGGTCTCCGTGAGCCTCAAGCAGAACCCACCGTGCCTTCGGAAAGAAAACACCATGGGGAACCACGGACCGGACCACTGAGCAGGTGGGAAGACGGGTGCCACCACCCCAGGAGGCCGACCTTCGATCCGAAGGTCGGCGACCGCGAGAGACCGCGACCGCCCGCCGCTGGGTCTCTCCAGCTTCTTCCGTTCCCGAACTGCGGAGTTCCTTTGCGAAGGAACG